TATATATATATTTAATATTTAAATTTAATATTATATATTTAATTCTTTTTTGCTTATTTTATAGGAGGAAGAGTTTTAATTACTGTAAGTTTAGCACCCTCATTGGCTTTGGCTGCTGCTAAAGCAACACATGCTGCTCAGATTATATCATTTGATGGAAAACAATTTAGAACAGATATAGCACATAAAGGAATAGCAAGGTATCTTATAATTAATGTTAAAATATATATAATTATTTATATATATTATTTATAAAAAAATAAAATATATTAATTATGTAATACTTTTAGATCTATATTGCAAAATGGACAATTAACATATAAAAGTAGTGGTGTTGATATAGAAACAGGAAATTTATTAGTTTCAGCTATTAAACCAATATCTTATTCAACGCAACGTTTAGGTTCAATGGGTTCAATTGGTAGTTTTGGCGGTTTATTTGATATAAAAGCTGCTGGTTATAAAGATCCAATTTTGGTGTCTGGAACTGATGGCGTTGGAACTAAATTAAAAGTTTGTATGTTTTTATTTAAAATTCAAAAATATAATACAATAATTTATATATTGTTATAGATAGCATTTGAATGTAAAAAGCATGATACAGTAGGCATAGATTTAGTGGCTATGTGTGTAAATGATGTTCTAGCACATGGTGCAGAACCTTTATTTTTTCTGGATTATTTTGCTTGTAGTAAATTAAATATTAAAATAGCTACTGATGTTATAAATGGAATAAGTAAAGGATGTAAGAAGGCTGGATGTTCCTTAGTAAGTAAAAATAAATTTATTTTTCAATTTTATTTATTCAATATATATATTATTATTTATTTATTATATACATATAACGTATCTATTACTATTTATTCTTTTTTATTATTTTAAATAAATTTAATATGAATATATTAAAAATTAAGTAAATAATTGATAGATTGGTGGAGAAACAGCAGAAATGCCAGATATGTACTCCAATGAAGAGTACGATTTAGCCGGTTTCGCTGTAGGAGTAGTTGAAAGAAATAATTTACTTCCACGAATAAATGATATAAAAGAAGGTGATATTATAATTGGTCTTCCATCAAGTGGACTACACAGTAATGGATTTAGTCTAGTTCGGAAAATTTTAAAAGTAGCAAATAAAAAATATGCCGATATAGCACCTTTTTCTGAAAATAATCGCACAATCGGTAATTATTAATAATACTTTAAATATAGATTTAAATATAGATAAATAAAATAATAAGATTTTTTTTCTTCACTTATAATTTTATATATTATATATCTTAATTATAAATAATTAACAAAAAATTTATTTACATATATTATATTGAAATTATTTAAAGGTGATGAATTGTTAGAACCAACTAAAATTTATGTAAAAGAAGTAATTTCTGCTTTACGTACTAATTTTGTAAAAGGATTTGCACATATTACTGGAGGAGGTATAATAGAAAATATAGCAAGAATTTTACCAAAAGATATGGGCGTAATTTTAGATGCAAGGAAATGGAAAATTCAACCCATTTTTGCTTGGCTTGCAACTGTAGGTAAGAAAATAATTAAAAATATTAATTAAATCTCCAAATATATTATTCCTATATTTTTCACATAATTATTTTTTTTATAGGAGGAATTAATAAAGAAGAAATGTTGAAAACATTTAATTGTGGCATTGGTGCTATTTTAATTTGTTCAGAAAAAGATAAAGAAAAAGTTTTAAATTTATTACAAATAGAAAATCCTAAAATTATTGGATATGTAACTAATAATAAAAGTAAGTTTCATTTAATATTATTTTATTTGAATTTTATTTATAATATTATATATATTAAAAATATTACAGATAAACAATTTAGAATAAATGTTAAAAATTTCGAAGAAGCATTAGAATTAAGAATGAAACAATACATACCTGACATCATTTCAAAATTAAGTAAGCCTTTAAAAAAAGTGGGCGTTTTAATATCTGGTAGTGGAACTAATTTACAATCATTAATTGATGCAACACGAGATTCATCCCAAAATATTGGTGCTGAAATTGTTATAGTGATATCAAATAAACCAAATATTGAAGGAATTAAACGAGCTGAAAAAGCTGGTATAAAAACAGTGGTAATTTTTATTTTATTTAAATATTATTTAATGCTATTTTTTTATTATTTGTATACTTATCTATTGTTTTATAATTTTAATCATAGGTTATTAAACATACTGATTATCCTAGTCGAGAAACTTTTGATTCAGCAATGAATATTGAACTTAATGCTGTTGGAGTTGAAATAGTTTGTCTTGCTGGTTTCATGCGCATTTTATCAGATAATTTTGTAAATCAATGGCATGGTGCTTTGATAAATATACATCCTTCATTATTACCATCATTTAAAGGTGCACATGCACATGAAAATGTTTTAAGAGCTGGAGTACGTGTTTCAGGATGTACAGTACATTTTGTGGAAGTATGATATATTTTTATATATAATTAATATAAATATATTATGTTGAAAATTTATTTACATATACGATTGTTTTTATATAATTTTATATAATTAAAAATCATTTTTAGACTGATATAGATTCGGGAGCAATTATTGAACAAGCAGCAGTACCTGTATTTCCGTATGACACGATAGAAAGTCTTCAAGAACGAGTTAAAATAGCTGAACATCGCATTTTCCCACTTGCTCTAAAATATTTAGCTACTGGTAGAATACAATTAAAAGAAGATAATACTATTTTATGGAAATATTAAAAAATATATATACAATTATTTTATGTATCATATATTTTTGATACACTTATTTTCTATACATTATATTTTTTAAAAATAAAAATAAACTACATTTTTAATTGATTAAAAGAAATTCTGAAAGCAATATATGTTCTATAAAATTATTTACTAAAAATCGAAGATATCATTCCTGTTAATAAATTATCCTTTCTTTCGACAGAGATATCAGAATTTACTTTTTCTTTTAATGTTTCTTGTGCTGGTGTCGAAAGTGCTTCTTTTGCAAGATCCTCTAATTTAACATGAAGCATTTGTTTCTGAAGTATAGGTACCAATAAATTGTATTTGTCGATTTTAATATTTATTTCTTTTGTTTTAGATTTAAAATTTTCTACAATATTCTTCCAAGTTTTTTCATCTTTATAATTTAATGGAATATGTCCAACTTTACTACGAGCATTTATTAATTTTTTTCGTAAATCTTGTGTTTCTTCTCTAATTTCTTTAGATAATTGTATCCATTCCGGAGTAAATCCATTTTCTATTAATATCTGCAATTTAATTTTATGTACTACTTATTTATTGTAAATTTTCGATTTAATTTAGTATTTTATACCTCATTTAATTTGTAAGTAACAAAATCAACATATGGATTTCGAGTATTTGTATTCTCTTTTAATGGTTTACCCATTCCTGGTAAATCTTTAAATTCACCTCTATTCATTGCTTCTTGAATTAAATCTTCTACTAAACGATCCATACCAAAACGTGTTTTAATATTTTTTGCATGTTGTTTATCCATTCCAACTAATGTATTACGTTCTTCAGTTTGTAATTTTTTTAATCTATGTTCCAGTACACTATCAACTGCTTTTTGAGCTCTTTCCATTGTATATAATTTTTGTCTTTTGCTATGTGTTCCAATACCTACATTATAAACTAAATAATGACGATGTTGTGGTGCAGTATGCTAAAATATATATATATATTTTATTGAAATTTAGTGAAATTAGCAAAAAATAATTTAAAATATGTATATGTTTTATATTATTTGCATATATACTTTAATATCAAATTCTTCAACTTCAGGTAGATTTGTACAATTTTCTTTCTTTTCTATTCTTGCTTTACGAATTTGTCTATAAGCAGTTTCAATCTGTGAAAAAAATATTCATATTATAATATTTTTTAATTAGTAAATTTTTTTTTAATTAGTAAATAAATATATTATACTTCAGAAAATTTAGTTGCATTAGCTTCTGATGTACCACTATCTGGATGGAATCTTTTTGCTTGATAAACAAATGCTAATCTTAATGTCTCATCTTCACAATCTTCTGCAACTTCTAGAGTTTGATACCATTTCTTAAAATATAATATAATAAATTTCTTAAAATTTATAATTAATATAATATCATTATACAATTAATTAATATATATCAAATAAACAATAACATATATCAAATCTATTGATAAACAATAGATTTTATTTATATCCACATATTTTTTCTTCATAATATTAAATTCAATGTATATTTTGTTAAATATATAATTATATATGATATTATATATCATATATATTATATATATATAATATATTATAACTATATATATAATTTTACAAAAAAAAACAAAAATTTTCATTAGATTTTCAATTTTTATTAAAATTAAATAATAAATATATTCTATAGAAATTTAATAAATATATAATATAATTTAATATGATGTATTTTCGATATTAAAAAAATAAAGTTAATATTATATATAAAATAATAATAAATATACCTTCATATTATGTTGATGTTTAAATCTTTTCATCAACATAAATTCCCAATATGGAACACAAATTATATTTTTAACTGATTTCCTATTATATTGATTAAATCTTAACATGTTTTTAAAAAATAAATGCTGCAATAATTTTGATACTTTATTTTATGATTATATAACTGATTATATATTACATTATTATAATATATACTTACTTATGAACTATTATTTATATTAAATATTCAAAGTAACCTATATGTTTTATTACAAGATATTTATATATTACGTATCAAAAATAATATCCTTTTAGATTGTACTTTCCGATGTGAATTAAATCTTATTGTCATATTGATAACAATTTAATTACTATATAATTAAAATAATTTTTGAAAATCATAAAGAAACAATAATGTTTCAAAAACGTAAGTGATTATGAAAATATATACATTACTTATATATATATATATATTGAAGAAGATAGACTAAAGTTGAAGAACTGAAAATATATTCAATTGACATTTCGTATCTTATTTATGAATTATGCGCATGCGCCAAAAAGTTATAGACAAGTAAAATATATGATAGGAAAAATAGGATAAAAATATTGAAATCAGTATCATTTTTAAATAATACTGAAAACATAAAAAAAGAATAAAAAAAATAATAAAAAAAAGATAGAGATAAAATAAAAATTAATTGCCAAAGCTATCTTTCGAATATCAAAGATATCTTTTTAAAAGTAGGATCAAATAGAATAAAAATTGAAAAATTTCTCTTGAGCAGTTTGAAAAAATATCTTTGATATTCAAGAGTTGACACTAAAAATTAATTCTAACCCTATTTTATTCTTTGTCCTATTATTTTCTGTCTTTTTTTTATATTTCATTTGCAGCACTTTGAAAATGGCTAATTTTAATATTTTTATCATTTCTCTATTCTTTTTCTACTCTTTTTATTTATAATTTAAAAAATGTATAATATATTATAAATTTTTATTATATTATTTATATATAAATTTATATAAATATATTATATATATATATATATAAATTTATATAAATATATATTTATATTAATATTTATAATTCTATACTAATATAAATAAATTTAGTTTTACTAAAATTATATTTAAATTCATTTTTATGATAAAAGTCGAAATTATTTTTATTATAATATAATATACGAACGTAATTTTTATTTTATAAATAATTCAATTCATACATAAATCTGTTATTCCTAGCAATCAAAAGAACTATGAATACAATATATATAATTCAAAGAAATATTAAAAAAATTATCTTTATTTATTAATTTTATTATTTCTTATGATTGAATTAAATATAATTCCTGTATCTAAGTCATAAAGAACATATTAAATACTGATTTTTTTATCGGTATTTCAGAACACATAAGTGTTAAATGTTAAATCTATTTTATATCTCATCTGTGATTAAAAATCACAGAATTTTGTCACGTGATATAGTTTATTTATTTCCGATATTTCTTGATGAACAAATAATCGCATAAATGTATATATATATAAAATTTATTAAGTTTAAATTATATATTTATTTTTTTATATTATAAAAAGAAAAATAAATATATTTAAATATCAAATAAATTTATGATATTATATTTTTATAAGAGAATATAAAGTAAAAATAAATATAATTTCATACTTTCTTTAAAATTCTTTTTACTATACATTATTTTATATGTAATTTAAAATATTGAAATATTTATAATTTGTATATATATATTTATATATATATTTATTTATTTTGTTTTAATATTTATTTATTGAGATTTAAAGAACTTAAATAATTCTATTTTGGTTATTTTTTTAATGTTCATTCATTCAAAAAATGAAATTTTAATAATTTACTTTTAAATGAAAATAATACACAAACGAATGAAACCGGATGTATACATTTCTTAGACATGCGCATTACAGTATTGTGTCTTTTTTTTCGCTTCCCGTTGACGTCAGTTTTCCATACACTTGCAGAAAAAAAAGTTACGCGAGCTTTTAAAATTTGTATTTAATTATTTTGAATGCGCAAATATACTTATTTTCTCTTATATTTATGAACTTTATAAATCTTGTATGAAATACAAAATTTGTCTGGTGAGTCTAATCTGTTGAATTTCATTGTAAGATTTGTATTGCAAGTTTACGATACAAACATGCAAGTGCAAGAAACGGAAGGAGCTGATGGTAAGTAAATATATTTAACATTTTTATGATATTTATATTTTTTTTTTATGATATTTTGTTTTTATAATGTTTGATAAATATAATACTTTATAACCTGTTATGATCGCTTATGATACGCTTAACCTCTACTACACGATTATACATTGATTACTGTTATGATTTACTAAATATATAAATGAGACATTTGTACATAGGTTCACCATGGAATAATTCCAGTGGTTGTGATGAAGAACGTAGACCTACTCAAAAGGAGGGTAAAAAGTCAAATATATTACCTCTTTGGGGAAATGAAAGGACTATGAATTTAAATCCATTAATTTTAACAAATATACAGTCATCACATTATTTTAAAGTAAATTTATATGAATTGAAGACATACCACGAGGTTATTGATGAAATTTACTACAAGGTATCTCATTTGGAACCATGGGAAAAAGGAAGCAGGAAAACAGCAGGCCAAACTGGCATGTGTGGAGGCGTGAGTATGTTTTTTAATACATTACTAATTTTTAATTGTTATTTATTAATTTAAAATTAAGATGATCATAAAATTATTATCATATACGTAGAAATAGTCCAAATTTATAGCATTTTAGAGGACCTGGACACTGTATGAAATGAGAACTGCTAATAAAAATAAAAAAGGTGAAAGCATTTAAACTAAATCATTTAAAGTGAGAGTTCTAAATATTTTAGACTTTCATTATTATTGTATAATCAGACATCAATATCAAAATGTTGGGCTCAGATATGAATACAGATATTAATACTTAATACCATACTTAATTGCAGAGTAGCATGTTCTCGGTCAATATATTATAATATAATATGTATGTGATTAATTGACATAGGGGGGTGTAAATTTAGCGGTTCATGCAGGTCCGAGGAGTTGGTGCTGGTGGAATTGTTTCAACGGCTTATTGTCTACTATATAAACTCTTCACCTTGAGGTTAACACGGAAACAATTAAATGGTCTTATCAATCATCCTGATTCACCATATATTCGAGCATTAGGATTTATGTATATTAGGTAAGTATATTAAAATATTAAATTTTATCATGAAATTATTTAATAATTTCATAATATTAATTTTATTATATTGCATATGCTATTGTTATTAATAGATATACACAACCACCGGCAGATTTATTTAATTGGTATAGTGATTACTTAGAAGATGAAGAAGAATTAGATGTAAAAGCTGGAGGAGGACAAGTAATGAAAATGGGTGATATTCTTAAACAATTCCTGACAAAATTAGAATGGTTTTCAACATTATTTCCAAGAATACCAGTGCCTATTCAAAAAGAACTTGAACATCGATTAGCAGAAAGGTTTCCTCAACAGTCTATGAATGCTCGAAATGCAAAACCACCTATTATCTTAAATAGTCATGGAAAATATAGTAATAGTAGTAGTAGAAAAGATAATGGCAATCTTACCTCACGGAATCAACCACGACATATCCCAGATAGTGAAGCTCAATGGGGTGAGGCTGAAAGAACAAGCCACTGGCGAGCCAGGTGCGTCTACGTGGTATGAATACAATCACGTTATTAATTTATATAAGGTTAATAATATTCTATGAACTTGTTAGGGAAATTGGGTGAAGATTAAAGACGTACCATCTCCAGGAAAATACTCTTGATCTCAGTGTATCATCATTCAGTTTTCTTTTGTACATATGTTCTTATTTGATTTTTGTACAGTTATTTGTTTTATAAATTTAATCCAATATCATATTTTCATATGCTATTGAAAATGATATAAATAAATTAATAAATTTATCAAATTTTTTGCAAAAGCAATATTGACAAACTAAATAATTTAAAATTGTTTAAAAATCATATCAATATTTATAATAACTGTACATTGATTATTTTACATATTGGATATCAAGGAATATGAGATTTTTAAATATATATAAATTTCAGGTAATAATAAGAAAGTTCTGTCTTTTTTCTTATGACAGGAAAAAAAAATGTAGAAAAAGATAGAAAAAAATTATTCTATTTATCACACTAAAATAGTTAAGTTCATAGCTTTCATAAGAATAGAAAACATGTTTATAAATGAGTTTTATAAAATTCATGATTTCATAATATAAAAATTTTAATATTATTTTTATAATTTCTTTGTTCTTGATCTGTTAATTTTATAGATGATAGCATAGCCTTAAAAAAATATAATAATAATAATAATAATTAAAAGTACTAAGAAAAATATAGAGTATATAAGTTTTTATTCTATTTTTTATTATTTATATATATATTATATTATATATTTTTTATTATATGCTATATATACATTAATAGCATATAAATGCATTATTATAAAACAGGAATGTTTTTTTTTTTTAATAATGACTGCTTTTTCAATTACAAATGCTTCGTAATTATTTTATAATGGATTATAATAACTATTCATTGTATGAGCAATTTGAATTGCAGTTCACTATACATACAATTTTTTTCAGTTTAAGGAAACCATCAGCTGCTTCAACAGTGCAGAAATAGAGAGACGGTGAAAGTGGAATGATTGTTTTCTACCTCTTCAAAAGTTGTTTTTCATTAAGCGCGTGAGAATAATTATTTTCATATATAAAGTGATCTTTTTCTACATTTTTATGTGTCTTTTTCTTTCATCTTTTCTTTCATGAAAAGATTATATCTTATCTCATATTTGAAAAATTACTACAAAGAGATAATATCGAGATGTTAAAAATGTCTAATTTCTTGGTATTTTCCATTATAAAGTGCAATATATATGTACAGGCTAATATTTTTAAAATATTATATTCATTAATTCAACATTACTTCCCTTCGAATAATATTGTTCCAGATCTGATGAAGATCGCAAGGACAAATACAGGGATCGAGATCGTGAGCGAGATCGCATAAGAGACAGAGAACGAGAACGTGCACGAGAAAGAGATCGAGAAAGGGATCGACATTGTAGACGATCGAACAGCCGTGATCGAAGTCGAAGACAAAGAGATTACAGAAGTCGTAGCAGAGACAGATCACATAGAGATAGAAGTAAAGATCGTTATCGTGATAAAGATCGTCATCGGGACAGGTAATATATATGTGTACATATATTATGCACAATATAATATAATATATATGAATAAAAAAAAAATAAATAGATATTTAATTATATAAATTCTTTTTAATTATAGAAGGGGGTCGCCGTATGATTATGCTACAGAACTAGCTCGGGAAAGAGAGAGACAACGAAGAGAATGAAAATATATGCTGGAATGTATATATTGATATAAATGTTTGTACGAGTGTAATTATAGACATAAAAACAATTTAGAACCGAGCCATTCGAACACCACCACATTTTGAAAAAAAATTTACTCCATTTGGAGTATAGCCTAAATTTGATTTGATTATATTCACCATGTAGTTTACATGTTTTTATAAAATAAATTCAAGAT